AAAAAAAAAAAAAAAAAAAAAAAAAAAAAAAAAAAAAAAAAAAAAAAAACCGTGAAGAGTATAAAAATTGTAGAAAATGGTCCAAACATATCAAACCCAAGTTGGACAAGCTGAGAAGCGAGCTTGAGCTGTCAGAAAATGTATTTTCGGACTAACTTCGAACGACCCAAGTGAGACAAAAAGGAGCAATCATATTTTGGACATCTAATGTCACCATCCACATCCATACAAGCGTGAAAAACTTTGATAATCATTGTGACACCTTTAAATCACCTTGTAACTTTCCCACCTATAGGTGTCCTCGAACTTGGCTTTAAATCTCTCAACTAGTGCTGAGATAGGGAGATTTCTACCTTTCTTCCCTTACAAATTAGTTTAAGTACAAGGTGTTTGAACTTTCCTGGTAGCTTATAAATTTTTCTTTTGGTAAGCCCAAATCACTCTTTTACATGTTTACACCGACGATATGATTTCTTAGTTACGTACTTCGTAGTAATAAAATTTTCCTTTGACACTACCATTTTTTATGTCCATAGTAGCCTATAGAAATTTATTATCTACCAAGCCTACTTAGTCATTTTTGTTTGAAGCAATTTATTAGTATACATAGGTACATTCTTTTTCACATTTCCGATCATGACACTACATCGTTTTTCTTTGTTTCGAGATATCTTATTGAAACATCTAATTTTGCTCAACAAATCCATTTTCATACGTATACAGTATTCAGTAGCCTACTACCTTCCATGAAACATCACAATCTCAATACAAATCTAGCTAAATCTAAACATGCTTTGAATTATCAATACATCATGTATTATTCAAATTTCAAACTTAGTAAATCATAACATAACAAAACATCATTTATTATCTTTCGTAGAGCATAACTGATTTTGATGAAGCATAACTGATAGGCTAGTCTATAGAATCTATAAGCCTAGAGCATGCATAAACTAATTGAGATAAGAATAGGGTGCTAAAATTAGTACGATTTTACAATGATTAAGGTTAGAACATTTCCAGTAAACTAAACACTTAAGAATGGTGAGAGATGATCAGAGAACTAAACCCTAATGCTCCCAAATCCATATTATCCCCTAGAGTCACTCTAACTAGACCTAAAAGCGAGAGTTTAAGAGATAAATCGTCAAGATGCTCTAAGAATCTAGTTAACCTTCTCGACACTAAGGAAATAGTAAGAAAGCTTACTTGGCCTACTAGCAGTGCCCGACCACCTCAATTTCCTCTAACATATCATTCGCACTATTTAGTGGTCTAGATTGGACCTAATAGCATTTCTCCCAAGCGATGATATTCAAATACATGTACCATTGAGCTTGACCTATATTGATTAAATAGGATAGTGCGTCGATGCAACTTTAGATGCCATTATCGTGTTTAAAAATGGTCAAGGGCCTTTTGAACAGGGTCGTTGCTTCGTTAACCCATCCAGGTTGGGGCCAAAGGATCACACAGTAAGCCTAAAAGTTGGTTGGCATATGGGATCACTCCCCAATTTCAGTATGACTTTATGATTCAGCTAACTAACCATGCATAAAAGATGCTCAGGAGAGATGATGCCATATTATCCCTTATGTGATAGTTTATGATAAGTGCAGCTACCCTAAATTCCACCTATCTAGAGTCATCACTAGCATCTCCTACTCATCTCTAATGTAGAATATAATTTTAAGAATGCTCATTTTCATTACCAGAAAAATTTAAAAACTTCAGAATAGGTTAAAACATTAGAAAATACGGTTGGACTTACATGTTTCAAACTTGGTGCTGAAGTTCAAAATAGGATAAAATAATTACAAATTCAATAATTTAAATAAATGAAATGCAAAACCCTATCCTAATCAAAGACTAGGAATTTTAAATATGCAACTATTCTATACACGCGCCACAGTCTTTGATCACGATGCCGCCGTCAACCGTACATGGGCACCTTGCCTTTACCTGAAAAATAATATGGCACATGGCCGAAGAAATACTCAGGAAGTGACCCACTATAGGGGCAATGCTAATACAAACACATGCAATCATGAATTAGGGATCTATCTCTAATCATCTTAAGGGTGACCTCCAGTCTCGGATAAATTGGATGTGTAGTACTTCCCTACACACGACTCACACGTGCGAGTGTGAATCTTGAGGGCGCTCGCACACTCCCCCGAACCCTCTGGTCAAGCTAATATGTAGCGACGTCCGAAGGTCAACGGAACCCCATAGTGTCATGCGCCTCATGAACACCCTCATCTGTCTGCATTCGCACTTGTGCACATTCGCGCTCATCATACAGTGCGCGTCCGCACTCATCATCTCTATGGGAAGTAGCCCTATGCTTATGAACATACAATATGCATGAGGTCTCTCTAAGTCCAATTATACATCTCTTCTGACACAACCCTCTAGTCTCATCTCTTGGTTACACTATGTAACACGTGCTCATGGATATTTACATTAATATCATTTTCATACTCTTAGGGTTGTGTCCTATGTCGATCTAACAACATGATGCAATATGGCAAACATCATAAGGCATGTTCAACATGGAAAACATCATCATGTTAATAACATTGTCATGCATACATCATATCATAGAAGCCATTAAGTGCATCAAATATAACATGTACGCCATGCATCGAAACATAAATAACATATATTTAACATACATCACAACACAACGTCATACTCATACATCATCATAATTTTAACTATCTTTAGTCTATCCTATAGTAAGGGCACTTACCTGAGCTTAGACTAGTATGACCAATTTATCAAGTTCTATTTCGTTCTTTATATCTAAGCAACCTATATGAACCATGACATCAATTTCAATTTCAATTTCAATTCTCTAAATTTTACCATAGTCCATATGTTAAACTTCATGTAAGCATTAGAGACTTTAGGAGTATTATATATATATATATATATATATATTTCATTATCCTTTTTACTATATGTATTTACTCTGTCAAATTGTTTCTGTATTTATTTTAATTCGGCTCACCAAATCTTCTCTTTTCTTCCTCCCGTCTCTCTCTTCTCTTTTTTGTATTTACTTTTATATATATATATATATATATATATATATTCCTTTCTCTCTCCTTTTAATTCTATAGGGATCTTATCTGTTTAATTCTTTTTCTACTATTTCTTTTCTTATTTCTCTCTTAAATTCTTTTCAAACCTCTCTATTTAATTCTTTTCTTCAATGCATTTTGTTAGCAGTTTAGTAAATGAAAGAAGGATCAGATTCTAAATAATTGTAGAAGGAAAAAATCTATTATTTCATTTAGATCTGACATGATTTCTAACTGTTAACTAAAATCTAAAAAACCGTAACTGTTAACTAAAATCTAAATAATCGTAGTGGAGAGGAGATCTGATTCTAATTAATTGGATAAAAGATTTTGATATTTCTTTTCTTTCTTAAAAATATCAGGAAGGATTTTTTTTTTTTTTTTTAATTATGTACTTTTGGCCATTTTCAATCAATATCTCCCTCTATTATGATTATGTCTTTTCCTTTTCCTCTCTATTAAATTCTTTTCAAACCTCTCTGTTTCATTCTTTTCTTCTCTTTAATTCTGTTAAGGGGATCGGATTCTAAATAATTATATAAAGGAAAAGATCTATGATTTCATTCAAAGAGATTTATAACGCTAACTAAAATCTAAATAACTGGGTAATGGTGGAGGAGATCTAAATCTAAATAATGGGTAATGGAGGAGGACATCTGATTCTAATTAATTGGATAAAAAAATTTGATTTTCCTTTTCTCTCTTAAAAATATCAAAAGGATTTTCTTTTCTTTTAATTATGTACTTTTGGCCATTTTCAACCAATATCTAAAATCTAAATAATTGAAGGAGAGATCTAATATAACTTGAGATCTAATTTACCAATAACTTTTCTTTTTCTTTCCTTTCCTGTTAAATCTATTGGAAATGAAGGTCATTTCCAATTTTTCTCTCTCAAAATCTGCTATCTTTTCTTTGTTTCTTTCTCCAATTTTTCCCTCCCAAAATCTGCCGTTTTTTTCTGTCTGTTTTGTTTCTTTTTTTCAGTGCAGATCATTTTACTGTTGTAGGAGGTGTTGGGGAGATATTTTGGGAAAGTGGAGAGAGAATCCGATCATTTACTTTTTTTTTATTATTATTATTTACTTATAATAATTATTATTATTATTTACTTATAATAATAATAATAATTATTATTTACTTATTCTTATTATTATTTTCTTTTTTTTTTTTTTTTTTTTTTTTTCTTTTTAGGTCCTTATAAGGTTGCACCTTCCATATTCAGGATATCAATGATTCACTTCTAAGACAATATAAGCTATCTAAGTCTAAGAACAAAAAGTTGTTCACCCAAAAACTCTTATAAGTCGTCTAGAAGACCCACGACACTAGAATTGGTGAACAACTCCCATACCCCAATTGAGTTTGATGTAAGTAAGATAATGATGTCCAGACCTTGGCTGGGTTTGTGGTGAGCATGAAAACCGCTTGGAACTTCGAAGCCTCCTAGAAGCTCAGATAACTATAGAACCTAGGCCCAAACTTCCTAAAGCGCAAATAAAAAGCCCATTTTAACTTATTAGATCAATGATGTTATTAGAGCTGGTAAGCAATTTGCTCTATTTATATTCACAGGATATTACCTTACTTTTTAAAGTGACATATAATTATTGTGTATTATTTTGTATCTGTTACTTGATCCCCATTTTAAAATAATCTCACAAACAACATTTTATTGAAATTTTCTGCTACCGAAACAAAAGTACTCACTCATAACAAGAACAGCAAGATGATATGATTCCAAAACAAAAGCAGATTGAAGGCAGGGTTGGGGCAGCATTGCATTGAAGATTTAGGTACAGAAAAGATCACAGCGGCAAATGCGAGACTGCTCACCCGTTGGAATGCATTCGCAACTCCTGGGTGGGATATCCCCATGCCTTGCCATTGATTCACTGTAGCATTCTGACAGTCCAATCCATCCCATACATACTCCCGATGAATGAAAACTATCTCGGCAAGTCTTTGATGGAACTGCACAAATTAACAAAACCTTCAACCATCACATTAAAACAACATATTTTCAATCAAACGGCTTACCAGCTGACTCAGAAATGGATACAAGGCAGATGAGAACAAGACCGAAACACATCAACCTCTTCCCCATAATCACACACCTTTCTCTGTTCTTTTGTTTGTTGTTCAAATTATCACATTCATGTTCCTATTTATACATACTTCGCCAACATTTGGTTAATTAAACTTAGTGGAGTAATTGAAGTTTAGCATCAATAAAACGGCTGAAAAAGGCTAAAAAAACAAATTTTTTTTCTCAAAAGGAAAGGAGACGTGCTAGAGTGTATGGTCTTTTGTTTCCTTTCGGCTTTTGGTCACCGACCAAGGATGCAAATTGAGCCTTAATTTTGATGCAATCCTTAGTATGTAATAATTTGGAAATGACAACTCATTTTTTCTCAACGTTTTTATTCAAGAAATATCAACCGACATACGGAGAGAAAAAGGGTGAATGTTGAACATGTATCGATATGAAATTCAAATTCCTAATTTGAACGTGTATGTGATAAGACCAAGTATTAGAGTATTAAAATCAAATTTGGTGCTTACTCTAGTTTTGTGACATGTGTGGTTCAAAAATGTGTATTAACTTGTTGGTGTAAGCCATGGAATATGAAAAGATATTGTTGATTGGAGGTGCAACAACCCAAAAAAAAAAAAGAAAAAAGGTTAAAGTTAAAGTCAAATTACCAAAAAAAAAAAGATATAATTTTCAAACTTTTTTTTTTGTCTTTTTTTTTCCTTCGTTTTTCCTTTTTTTTTTTTTTTTAGTGTAACAACCTTATTTTTTTTAATGGAACAGAGACATCTATCGGATGACTATTATGTGTCAATAAATTCATTTGAAACAATGTCCTGACTTAAATAATTGTAAGCTTCATTTAATAAAGGTAAACCTCAAGAAATAGAGCAAACAAAATAAAAAAAAATAAAAAACTCGAAGTAACGAAAACGCCCTAATCAAACTTAAAAGATAAAATTTAAACATAAATGCAACTCTCCTACTTTCAATCAATGGCCTTCACTACGAGGCCGTCATCCATATAGTTCATTTAAAATATTCAAAAATGATATCTCGACTTAAATGTTCTTAATAAAAGTTTTAAAACAAAATAGTAGAAAATAAATAACTTGAAATATAAATAAAATAAAGAAAAAAAAATCAAACAATGCATTAATGTAACATGAGGGCTACAAAGTAGACAAAATGCAACTAACCTAACCTAGTTCCATGGTCTTTCTCATGACTACGATATTTTTACTCGAAATGTAAGAGTAGTACATGAATTTTGTATTTTAAGAAATACTCAAGAACTCCACTATTGGAGTTTGAAAATGCAAACACGTGCAGCATGGTGAGACCTATCCTTATAAAACATCAGAGCATGGCCTGCAACTTTCTAGTTCAAGCAAGGTTGGATGTGTAGTACTTCTTTACACATGGCTTAGGCATGCGAGCATGGGCCCACTAGGCGGGCTTGCACACCCCTTGGGTCGGCTCGTCGGGCTAGCACTTGCTAACGGGTTATTGTCGCACACCACGGAGGAGAAGGACCTGCAAACATCATGGCAAACATAAATGTCATAATCATAAGTCATATGGTATGCGTTCGTACTCATCATATTAGGGAAGTATCTTGATGCACATAAGATACAAATATATATAAGATCCCCATATCTTATAATCATAACATAATGTGTAATGCAAGACAAACCTCCATTTATCTATAATATAATAAGCCTATGAATTATGGTTACATAATTCTGGTACATTATGTGATAAATAGCATAACTTTCATGGCATGGTCTACAGAGGTTTATGATTATCGATTTCATAACAACTTTATACAATACGGCATGATCACAATATAACATGACTTTTATACATGACATAACTTATCATAGTATAACATATCATAACATGGCATAACATAGCATGACATGACATAACATAGCATATTATAATATAGCATCAAGCAACATAGCATAGCTTAACATATCATTTATATATATGACACATGGATGGGCCACAGGGCATGCATCATCATACATAATACAATTCATTAAATCAAGCCAATAGTAGAGCTACTTACATGGTTGATCTAGGCTGAAGTCACTGTGCTCCCTCGACGTTAACTTAGCGCTACTTCTTCAAATTTAATTCTATCTGAGAAATCTCACAATCATAACTTAGAATTATACTACGAAAGTTGGTTCATCTAATTTTGCACAAAATAATTTAAACTTAACTTTAAATAATTTAAAGTAGCTAAAATGTAGTCATACTAACCTTAAACATGTTCGAGGAGTTGAAACTAGTAAATAAGACCGAGCTTATCAAACCCAAGTGGGATCATAGTTGACTTAGAATCATGAGGATCAAACCCAAGTGGGATCATAGTTGACCTAGAACCATGAGGAAATGTATTCTCCACTGACTCTGAACCGCCCAAATAGGATGAAAGGAAGCAAGTGTTGTAACCTAATAAACCAATGGACCTCCCTGCATTGAAGTCCAATTCCCCACCTTCTCAACTGATCTTTTATTTTATTTTTTCTTTCTAATTTTAAATTATTACATAAATATAATTAATTGCCCAAAAAATAAAATCATCCATATTGACATCATTTGGCTTGAATACTTAAAAAGCAATTCATAATGAAGCTAATATCACCAAATCGAGTTGAATTAAGTTATCGAATCAAATCATGAGCTACATGGCTACGGTGAATCAACTGGAAGCTGATTATGCATTCGAGTCATATTTGAACCCCAATTGAGATGTCGACTCAGATAAGCTAACCGCTCGCTTGACGAGGGTCTAAAGGGTAGCTTGGGCCTATTGCTTTGTGGGTCACGTGATCAACTAAACATCTCATTTGGTGCATGGGGTGGACCTTGTTTCCATGGGCCTAGGCCACCGAGGGTCGTCAATGAACCATGAGACCTTATTGGGTTGAAGTGTTAAAGATATTTAGTATTGTATTATAGTTTACCATATATCATATTTGATCTTTTATTATAGACAAATTTCTATACTTGTCTTCCATTGCGACTTACCATATGTATATTTTCATTTATTAGTATTTCTATACTTGTCTTCCGTTGCGACTTACCATATGTATCTTTTCATTTATTAGTTTTTCTATATCCTTGTAATTGCTCTCTCTTTTCTTTTCATATTCTTGTAATTTATTTTATTATAAACAGAGAACTTTTATTCCGTTTAGGTGTGTTCTCAAATGGGTCACAAGTTCTAGGTCGAAACACATGTTGAGATTGGGAGGAGGATTAGAGACTATAACTATGTGATTAAGAGAAAGAAAAAGGTTGAAACCCTATCGATAATCCAAGTTTGAACAACACTTGCTCTTAGCGTAGAGTTGGATTCTTATCCGAGGGGAACGAATTAAGAGCAAGTATGTCACGATCCTTAAGCACATTCATTTGTATTAAATATTGGTTTCAATTTTCTCCTGTTTATGTAATTACACTAAAAGGGAAAAAGAAAACAAAAATAGGCAATAGGCATGGCGAAATTTGAAGGGTTTGTGCGATGGAAGTGAAGGTTGGGCAGAGAAATGGAGTAGACCGTTCTCCTCTTCTCCCACAACCAATTCTCCCTTCTCTTCTAACTCCTCACAGGTATTTCGCCATTCCCTTATCTCACAACCCATCACCGACACCCTTTTCTTTCTTTTTCTGAGAAATCTTACACAACTTGCTTCGCTTTTCTCCTTTTCCCTCCAATAGAAATTGGGCCAACGCCAAAGCATCCTTGAAGAATCAATTCAGAGCCATTGCGCTGGTATGTTTCTCTCCATTCAAGTGCTTTTGCTTCTAATTACTCCAGCCCCATGTTTGAATTGATTCTATTACTTCTGGAATTGAATGCCTTTTCCAACCTTAACTCTAACACTGGTTGCTATAGGCTAAATTGTACTGCAAACTAGTTACTGAATGTTCAGATCCTCAAAAATTTCAAACCCCATATGAATTTCAACTCACTTTCCATGAGTTGGGTTCATAATTTCTAAATTCGGTTATGAAAGTATTGGTATTACTTGTAGAATTGACAAACTCACTTAACTTTTTGTTGATTCATTGCGTTCGTGAACTACATGTATGAGGAATTTTTGTATATATGGCCACAAGGGTCGAGTTCTAATTTCCATTTAGTTTAGAAGAAGATATCACATCAATGAAGTATTGAGTAATTAATCGTGTTTATCCTGATTAGCTTAGTGACAGTTTTATCAGTTCCAGAATGAATTACCATATAATCTATGCCTGTTCTTGGCTTCTTTCTTATGTCTTACATAATCACTGCAGTTTAGAGATAGATATCAATTGCAAGAAAAGCTTCAGAGTTCTTTGAATGGACTTTGTAAATATCAAATGCATTTCACGCTTGCCTGCCCCCGACTACCTCCTGTAAGTTTCTTTTTCTCACCAGATGCAGAGCTATATCTAATCTACACATATTTATACAAACTTATCTGTTCTCTTCTTTTTTCTTTGTCAGGCTAGAACCACTAGTTTGGTAGTTTTGGTTCCCCTCATAGTATTTTGTGCCAAATGCATAATTGGTGCCTCTTATGCTAGAGTTTTCGGAACGTCGAGGCTTAAACCCGTTAAGGAACCAGAGGGAGAATGTCACAACTTCAGAAGCGGCCATTGGAGGTCTGCTCTTCGAGAGATAAGGGAATTGAATGGTTTGGATTCTGAGTCCTCCATATATTCTACTGTAAGTAATGTAACTTTTTGGTCCTACTCTTACTGTAAGGAATGGTTTTACTTGCAATGTGAAACGGGAGGAGAATTGAGAACTGATAGAGTTGTTGAATTGTTGCTTTCATTTCTTTGAGTACCCAACTCCCCAAGGCTTTTCCAGCTGATCATTCATTTTTGTCCATTCCTAATGGAGTTCTCTGGCCATCCACTTCGCTTTCTTCTTGTTTGCCCATCTTTTTGTTCCAATCAGTGTTATAATGCTGCCAAAATGGCAAACTATCTTCAGATAACAACACTGGATCTGCACATGGGTGGGGTGAACAAGAAAAGGAACAATGCAGAAATATGTTACTAACTAAGAGTGTTTAAATGAACTTCATAACTTATAAAAATACATCATATGTCGAAATCATTATAGAAAATATGCTTGATTTCTAAACAATACCCTTAAAAATCATTCTATACTCATTGTAGTTCTTTTGCAGAGCCCTTCAGAAGAACAACAGATCTCAGTTGAAGATTTGTCACATGCTTACAAAAAACTGGATCAGGATTACGACAAATTTCTATCAGAATGTGGACTGAGTAAATCGGGCTATTGGCGAGGAGGTGCGCAGAGACCTGGACAGGAATAGGCAATCTTTGCAGCACTTTTCTGTGCTCCCTTGCCATCCAAAAGGGGCTAGGCTAGGGAGTTCTTTGTAGCAACCATTTTTCTGGTGTTGTATTGTAGTGGAGTAAAAATTTCAACCCAGTAATGTAATTAAACTTTAAATTGGACAAAATTTATGCATTCTGCATCCAATTTGCTACAACTCTTGACAAAGAACGTGCATGACCGGAGTCTCGCCGGGATTCTCAGTCACTTTGAGCTTTGCATCGGCGAACTCATCCACTTCCTCCTCCCCCCGCCATGGAGCTGAAGATGCCAACTGCTTCTTCTTCGCCATTTTTCCGCCCAGCCCAAGTTCCTCATGACAGCCGTAAGAGGCCTCAGTTTATAGGGCCCCCATTGTTGATACTCTTGAGTTTACTGCACAGACCCATTAAAATTCACTGAGATTTAGTCGGCCATCCAAAAATGAGAGCAGTGTTGGTTTCTAGAAGCATTAGATCGTTTTACAGTGTTGATAAGGATGTAACTGGGAAGTCGAATTGAAGAGCATGTTCTTTTCTTTGTGGTTTTGATCTCTTTGAGCCAACCCCAACAGGTTTCTAATAATTCTATCGAAATTTAGTTAGTCCACGTAGAGACCATCTGTCATGTAAGTTTTAGAAGAAAAAATGCAAAAAGAACAGAGATTCAGACATGGGAAGAGCTAATGAAAAGAAAGAAAGTAGGAAAAGATGTGTAAAATTAGGTATTAATTGAATGATGTTATGATATGAAGCCCTTTCCCTCACTCACTCACTCTTATTACAACCTCTTCACTTCTCTTCTCTTCTCTTCTCTTCTACTTTTGGGGTATATTTAATTTTCAAACCTTATTGTAGCTTCTTATATTATATACAACGCTACTATTAATATTTCATGGTTCATTCTTCTTTACACACAAAAGTGCAGCACTCACAGTTTGAGAGACCACAGCCTTCTTCTACCTTTGATGATGCTCTACCAAACTTGCTTGGATTCTTTTAAAGCTCATCATAACTCTTATTCGTCTTCGCCTTTCTAAAAGCCTGCTGGATTTGTCTCTCATGCTCTTTCAGCATGTCTTCAATAATGCTTCCTCCTGCAGGCACTAACGGTCCCGAGTAATGTATTCTGTTCTTCTTTTGCACATATCCCTACATGTCACATGTTCGAAGTAGGATTCAGGGACTAAAATACAGTTTTATGGTTCTAATAGAATGAGAAAGAGACTTGTGTTCATACCATTCCAGAATCTTTAGAGTCCTTCGTAAGCGAAGAGGTTGCCGAATCGCCCACTGTCTGATGCATCTGAGATTTCTGTGTCCTCAAATCTGCACAATTTCTTGATGCCCCGGTGGGCTTACACCATGAACTTGCAATAGTCGGGTGCACCATAGATGTTGAGTGGGTGTACCGACTCTGAGCAACTCTAGGAGGCTCACCGTCCTCTTGAGGGTTGTATTTCATACTCATCTTTTTAGCAATCGGGTGTACCTACAGTTTTTGTTCATCAGAAAGGTATGTTCTTGAGTGAATACTGCTTTTTTCAAAACTATTTTTTTATACAAACACAATGTGTTTGGTTTCATGAGAAGCTATAAAAGTGTTTTTTTTTCACAATTTTATTAAAAAGTACACTCCCAAATGTCATCATAAACTCAAGGACAAGTAGTTTCCAATTCGTGACATATACCTTAATCGTATAGTCTCCTTGAGTGTTGAACTCGGGAGTCGGAGCAGCCTTGGTGTCTCTCAAGCCCCTTCTTACTGATTCGGGATGATGTCCCTTCACAGCTTCTGCTTTTCTCCTGAAATTAAGTAAAATTGTATCTATAATGATAGCCCCAAAAGGTAACTAGTAGCCTTAAGTATGTTCGGCAAAATATAACGAAAAAGAAAACTAAACAAAAACTCAAATGAAGACCAATAGAGAAACGATTATCCATACTTTCTTTCTTCTTCATTCCGGAGCTTGGCATCGAATTCCTTGCTTGGAGGATATTTTGGTAAGCTTGAAGGGTCACAAGGGAGAGGTTCTGTTCTGAAAAACTGCAAAATTCACAAGAAAGAACACATAAAAAAGAAGCACTTTTTATTTCAACTCTAGCCAGGAGAAGACAATAGTGCAGCGGGTTAATGCACATGGTCCTAACTCTTAAACATACAAAAGGAAACTGAAAATACCTCACTTCTGAGAACTTCGGCAGCGGATCCTCTGTGCTCTGGTTCAATAGCAAGTAGTTTATTAACAAGAGCCAGAGCTGGAGGAGGGAAACTTTTGAATGTTTCAGAAATGCAGCTTTTATAACGGTGTTGAGGTTTGAAGCTGGTTGAAAGTGGCAACTTTGTTCTCCGCCAGAACTCCTCGGACGGTGAACCACAGAGCTTAAAAATTTTGTGCATTTGTTCCACCTGATAAGAAATCCACAATTTAACAACTTCCAAATGATTCTTGTAGTGATCTATTGTTTTCTCTTATTTTCCTAAAGATTACACGAAAAAGAGTTTCGTTGATAAAAACCTCTGTTCTTCCCGGCATAATAGGCTTTCCAGCAAATAGTTCAGCAACGATACATCCACAGCTCCAGAGATCTATGGCGGGTCCATATTCAGTAGCACCAAGCAAAAGCTCAGGTGCCCTGTACCACAATGTCACCACCCGACTCGTCAATGGCTGCTTTTGATCGGGTTGAAAACAGGTAGCTAGACCAAAGTCTCCAATCTTGAGCACACCATTATCGTCAATGAGAAGATTTGAACCTTTGATATCTCGGTGCAGAATTCCTCGACTATGACAGTGTTCGAGTCCTTGCATCAATTGTTGCACATAACATTTAATCTGCAGCATATAACAACACATATCAATATCAATGGTTTCAGTTATCAGTTCCTTCAGATATCAAATATCATGGTCAGTTCGATGGCTCAATAGCGCAGTTTGAATAAGCATTCATTTTCATAATGGTTCGAGTTGAAATGCTATAGAGAAGCTTAGGAAAGACCTGAGCCTCAGAAAACTTATGTCCAGGAGCTGCAGCAAGGCCTGCAAGGTCATGGTCCATGTACTCGAAAACAAGGTGCAAGCTACCCGACATTTTGGAAGTAACTAAACCCTCAAGCTTCATAACATTTGGATGATCAAGTTTACGCAAAATATAGATTTCCCTGGCCATAAAACGGACACTTTCTCGATCCATATTTACAAATCTCACTTTTTTCAATGCCACGGTTTTTCCAGTTTCAAGGTCTCGGGCTTTATATACACTGCTGTAAGTTCCCTGTCCAATCTGCATATTAGAAAGAACACAATGAGATGATTAACACATTTCGATACGAAAGACACATGCTGTTCAATAGATACAAATAAGAAGCATTAGAGTCATATGATTCTAAAGAATTTAAGTAAAAAGGAGAACAAAATGAATGGAACGAACTTTTTCTAACTTCTCAAAGGAGTCAATCCGGCGGGGAACCCACCCTTTAATGGCTTCTCCAGCAACAGAAGCTAACCATGAAGGCCATCCAGCCATCACATATTCAGCTTCTGCAACTTTAGACAAGCTAGCTAACCTAAAAATGTCGGGCTTTCTTCCAGCTGCCGAAGTATTATCTGCTTTTGCTTTTGCAGGCTTAATGGATTCATCGTCCTCCCTTGCTCGATGGACAGACCCTCCATTGGCCTTTGTTTTATGAACAGAACCTCCATTGGCCTTTGTTTGATGAACAGAACCTCCATTTGCTTTAGATGCCTGCCTTGACAACTTAATCTCTGACAACAAATCCTCTCCTTTAGAGGGAGAAGGAGCAACCAATTGAACTGATGATTTGTTCACATCTTTTCCCGTTCTAGACTCTTTCTGACTGCTATCTTCTGGTCCTGAGGAATCTCTTGAGCAAATGCAGCCCATACTTCCCCAAATTTTCCCAACGTTTATTCACAAACGTTTTCTACCATTGATAAGCCTTCATTTCCTGGGAAACCCCAAAGTTTCCCCTCTCTGTCAAAACACTCAAACCCGTTTCATCAATCTCCTAATTCTTCAACACTCAAAATAATCCTCAATCCCTTCGCATAATTTCCAACAAATTGCAGATTGAACCAACCATAAATCCCAGAATTCTCAACCTATTTTCCGAGAAATTCAAATGACAAATATACGGGAAGGAAAAATCACACACTCAATCCGCAAGAAACAAACAAAGACCCTACCGATTCTAGAGATAACACAAGAACATTAAAACCTCAGATCAAAAGAACCCAGAGAAAGAGAAAAGGAGAGATTAATAATATTGCAATCGTTGACGAGAAAATAGAAGAGAAGGAAAATAGAAAGAGAAACAAAAAGAGGAAAAGGGAAAGTGGAATGTAGAATATTGAAGCTGAATGTGATTAGGAAAAGGGAGAGAGAGTTGAGTGGGTAGTGATGAGATCCTAGAAACGCGAAGGACCAGGCATGTTTGGGGATTGACAGAGCGGGTAGGTTACCACCAGAGCTCTGTCTTTCCTTTATTTCTCCTTCTCTTTTATGAAAGATGAAAACAGAAATTGAATCGGAAGGGATGATAAGTAGATATTGGAAACAAAACAATAGAAAAGGATTGTTCAAACCTTCCATAGACAGTGAGGAAGAAGAACCGAAGATTGGTTTTCCTTCTCTGGGTGCGCGACTGCCGCAAGACGTGCATTGCAGTACTGTCGTGCTCAAATCGTTACTCCTTGCAAAAATGGCGAATTCTTTAACTGATTCTAATGGCTGCCTCTCTATTCTTAGAACATTCATATTCTATTTCTACCCTTTCCTTTTCATCATCCAACTGAATTTTACATTTTTTAAATCATTTCAATGACAAATTTCTCTTCTACCTTTAAAAGTTCTAAATTTCCAATTTTTTTATTTAATGCTTTGAATTATTTTTTTATTTTTTTAAAAAATTTCATATTTTGTGTTTTAACTTTTTTTTTTTTAATAGATTTATTTTTTAAAAACTTTAAAAATTAGAAAAAAAAAAAGACATTTCAATGAATTAGGTGCTTTTAAACTTCCAGATTTATGAATTGGTTGAGATCTAAGCATACATGTGAGCTAACACGTAATTTTGATGTGATTAATGAGTCTCTGTGATTAATGAGTCTCTAGTGAACCTCTCAATAGGATTCGAACCCATATGAAGTTCTGACATATGTTAGAGAAAAAAGAACCCATGGATCTTGTAGGATTCCCGAGAGAAAAAAGAACCAATGGATCTTGTAGGATTCCCGAGAAATGATCTTGTAGGATTTCCGAGAAATGCTTCGAATTTCTTCTGGAAGCGGATGATTATTCAGAAAAGCATTTAAGAAATTGGTCATTTAGGGAATTGTTTGAAGAAAGAAGGATCCCAAAGAATCAATCTCTCTTTTAGTTGTTGAATCTCTCTTTGATTGATCAATGTATTGATATCGAATCCTCAAACCTCAAATGTTTATCCGACAAATCAAACTTGAAAATCAAGTTGGTTTTAGAGTTTTCACAAATCAAACTTGAAAATCAGGTTGAAAATCAAGTTGGTTTTAGAGTTTTCAAGGTCGGTAGAAGCTTTAGCTACAAATAAAAAACTTAATTGAGAAGTATCCAAACTTGAGTTACAAACAATTCATTTATGGATATTATACTCATGATATTTGTGAAAATTTGGGAGCTACACTCCACCAATTGAGCCCAAAACGATTCTTCCACCTTCATAAAAACGTTTTTAATAAGTTTTCTCCAGACCTCGAGGGTTCAAAATGGCTAGATCACATCCCCCAATTCGAATTCGAGTTTACGAAGTTCACATTCGGAGGAAGAGTTGAAATTCAATTCTGGCCTTGCACACATAGTAGGGAGGCCAAAGATTATTTATGTAGAAGTGCTCAAAACCAAAAGAGTTACGAATAATGAAAATTTGAGAAGAAAAGAAAATGAAGAGGCCTATAACTCATTGAGAGGAAATTATATGCAGCTATTGACTCACGAACTAGAACCTATGACCTTTAAAATTGAAGAGCAGTAAGAGTTATCGAGTGACCCTAGATTAGTCAGGTTATCGAGTCATATTAGATTTAGGTTTAAAATGTGAAAATGTGAAAGAGTCGGGTGTCCAAATTTATAGGAATCAAAACAGACATATTATTGATTCATGGCATTCCAAGTACAGAGGTTTATAGGATGAAAAGAAGAAAGGTCGAAGAAAAATGAGTTAGGCATGCCCAAGAAGAAGATTGGCTATAACCAAGATGATACTACAAATATCTTCCACAGTCTTTCCGTTGCCAGACAGCGCCGATGGGTCCTTCGGCGGCTGCGTGAAGCTATCTAGACAGTCGTTGGCCTCTGTCATGGCTGCAGACGCTTTAATGTTGACGCCATTGTAGTCACCTTCCCCCAAGTAGTTCTTCCCATCCTCGATGTCGTCGACAGCATCATCGTAGAGTTCAGCACAAGTGGCATAGCGCTCCTTAAGCTTGGGATCGACTGCCTTGGACGCCAGGGACTGGGCGAGGGCATAACTTTGAGTAGCCTTGTCGTGGGCGAGGTTAAGGGTGAAGGTGGCCAGCCCTTTTAGGTCGGTGGTGCCAGCAGATTTCAACACGTTAAAGCAAAAAGAAGGGTTTCTAGTTTTCTTGCAGATGGTGGAAACGATATCGTTTTGGGAAGCTGCATGCATGGGCACCATCCCATTGAAGAACAGAACTAAAAGGACAATTGCAAGAAAACTAGAAGATGTCATTTTTTATTTTGATTTTTTTGTCTGTTTTGCTCAATTAATTCATAGGGAGGGTTTACATCTTTATACACTCACAAATATTCCTTTTAATAGCTTTTTCACGTTAGAATTTTAAGTAAAACAGTATTAAAAGAAAGACGAACAAAAATAGACAGAATAGGTTAGGCCTTTTTTCTCTCCAAACCCAATCACAAACTTGGCTTGGTTATTGTGCACTTTTTTAGACAATACACCATCTTCTTAAGTGTGCCACTCTCGTGTTAACTTTGACTGGCTACACATGAAAGTCATAACTTTACTCTCTTCTTAATAAGATTATAACCGTTCTCTTCCACTTAAACTAATAATATTTATTTTACAAAAAAAAAAAAAAAAATCAAGGTTATTAATGTAATATTGAATAATATGTTGTTGACATAAAAGAAGATCATATTCAATAAATAACCTAAAGAATATATAGTATATGGATAATGTTAATACGTCTACAAATATTTGTTTTGCCAATGTTTTTTTGTTGGAATCATGAAAAGTAATCTTTGCCATCATTGTGTGTTTTGACGTGAGAAATGTGAGTCAATAAACTCGAATTGGTTAAAATGAAGGATGTGGGAATCATGTATTGAGAAGTTAGTAAGTCAATAAGCTCGACTTGGTTAAAATCATGAGAAGTTGAAAAGTTAGTAATCATGGAACATTTTGGGGGAATCATGAGATAACGGAGACCAACCTCAACCCACAATTTCCTGCAAGTTTGTTAGAAGCAATCATGAGATAACCTAGACCAACCTCAGTCACAGAACTTATGGTTCAAAGCAAGGAGTTTTTGGTGTATGGGCTAGTACTAGCACTATTTTATGGTTCAAGCATGGTGTACAACGATGCCTCGAGAAAAGGATTGAGGTTGCGTGTTGGTGTTGATGGAAAAGTGATTGTATATGGCTCCTAATAGCTTAAGAAATATGGGCGCTACCTAACCCTCAATTTGGAGTTAGCAACTCTGGTGTTCACGTTAAAAAATATGGTGACATTACTTGTATGGCGAAAAGGTATAGGAATTTACTAACCATAAGGGCTTCAAGTATCTTATTCAGGTAGAAAGAGTTGAACATGGGACAAAGGAGATAGTTGGAGTTTGGGAAGGATTATAATACCAAGGTCCTTCACCACCCATGTAAAGCTAACATAGTGGCCGATGTGTTGAGTAGAAAGACAACTCACTCTTCTAGTATGTCAGTTTGGGTGCTCTAAATTTCTAAAAATTTCACTAGATGGTCATAATTTAAGTCATTTTAGGATTAGGATGGATGTAAAATAGTCAAAAGATCACCTTCCACTCACCTTCACGCGCCCCATGCATGGTTGGAAAGGCTTCTATGCGCAATTTCACTCGCAACAGGCTCACGTGTAAATACCTCGGCCAGTTGCTGCTCCCTTTTAATCTAAGCATAAGTTAACATAAAGTCCCAAAATTTTTCACTACTTGACGTGCATTCCACTCAAGACACGAGTGTTCTTAACTTTGAATTCAGGAGACGTAAGGCATTAGTATTTTCTTATTTTTTCTTGGTGTGGCATGTTGCTTAGAAAGCACACCTTCAAGTCTAGCAAAATGTTGCCTCATTGATTTTCCTTCAATTAACGTAGGGTCGGTGCATGTTCTTCCACCTCCATGAGTGCGCTTAGATTTAATCCACCTAAAGCACGTGCACCGAAAATTTGCAATTTTTCCTAATTTCTTTTAATTTTTATATATTTTTCTATAAAATTCGATTGGCTTCTTCAAAAAAAAAAAAGTTCCCAATTTTAAAATTCAACAAAGTTAATTTCATTCAATTTCATTTAGGCAAAAAAAAAAAAAAAAACACATTTAAAGTAGGAGCAATTTCTTAAAACTTACCATTCTTTGACAAACTCCAATTTTTAAGTACCTTCTCTCTTTAGTTCCTTCACAAGATTGGTTCAAAATGATCTCCTAATACCTAATGAATAATTTTTAGTTGTGATTAAACATCTAAACGCTTGAATATAAAGAAAAATAGTAGCTAAAAACTCGTAACTCTTGCATTCAATTTTTCCTCGTTTCTTAACATATTCGAGTGATTCAAAAGACCAGATCAATAGACCAAAACATTCCTAGCAATTTTCGTGAAGAAAGCTTGGCAACAAATGCTCTAAGTCATCGAATCTAATGGTGGAATATTGTTTTCTTTAACTTTGTTTCCAAAACTCAACCTCTTTTTTCTTTCTTTTTTTCTTCTTTCTTTTCTTTATCCTCTCCTTTAACAAGTGCTTCATCATCCGGATGGTTCCATCACATCTCTAACTAGTATCTTCATATACTTCTCCCATATGAAAAACTCTCTCTAAAAAAAGTGACTCATGTTCGATAACATATGAAGAGTCTGGGGTATACTTCTACGGTATAAACATATGAAACACGTTGTGCATGGTGACAAGTGTAGGTGGTAGTGCTAATTTGTATGCCACAAGTCCTATTTTCTTGAGGATTTCCAAGGGACCTACAAATCTTGTGTTGAACTTGCCCTTCTTCCCAACTTTCAACACCCCTATCATAGGTGCAACTTTGAGAAAGACATGATCACCCGTAATAAACTCAAGTTCCTTCCTACGAGTGTCTACTTAGTGCTTTTGCCCGCTTCATGCCTTCAGTATTCTTTATCTAATTTTTTGTATTGCTGCATTAATAATCTAACCAACTTCGGCACTAGAAGTTGTTGCTCACCTACCTCTTCCTAGAAGATAGAAGTTTGACACCTACACTCGTATAGAGTCTCTAAGGGTGCCATCTACATAGTCATATTTAGCTATTATTATAAGCAAACTCCATTAAGTACAGGTAATCATTCCAACAACTAGAAAATTCTATAACACATGTCCTTAAGAATCTAGTTCAACCTCTTAGTTTATCCATCCATATGTGGATGAAAAGTCGTACTTAACTTGAGTTACATACTCAACACCTTATGTAGACCCTTCAAGAAGTGGGAGGTGAACCTTGTTTTCTGATCTCATCTGATAAAAATTGGAATACTGTGTAGATGGACTGTCTTTGAGTCAACATGTCCACTTGGTATGTAATTTTTCTAGGAATGAAGCGAGGTGTCTTGGTCAACCTATCTTCAAATGACCCAAATGATTGTGAAATTCTGTTTGGTGTTTGGAAAATCCAAGATATAGTCAATAGTTGTGATGTTCCACATTGGTCGGGGAGAAGTACAAATCACCATTTATAAGGGTGTGGAAACCTTCTCTAGCAGACGCGTTTTAAAGCCTTGAGGGGAAGCCCGAAAGGGAAAGCTCAAAGAGAACAATATTTGCTAGCGATGGATCTAGGTCGTTACAAATGGTATCAGAGCCAGACCTCGAACAATGTGCCAGTAAGAACGCTGGGCCCCAAACGGGGGTGGATTTGGTGGCGATTCCACATCAATTGGAGGAAGGAAAGAGTGCCAGCGAGGACGCTGACCCCGAAGGGGGGTGGATTGTGATGTCCTACATTGGTTGGGGAGGAGAACAACCATTTATAAGGGTGTGGAAACCTTCTCCTAGCAGACGCATTTTAAAGCCTTGAGGGGAAGCCCGAAGGCTTCCCTGGCTTCCCCGGGAAAACCCAAAGAGGACAATATTTGCTAGCGGTAGATTTGGGTCGTTACAATAGTCGATCTATTTACCTATTGAAAAGTCCTGCCCGCTCAATTATTCTTTATTCCTTGCGGATATATTTACCTATTGAAAAGTCCGACATTGACCTACACACTCAACTATTCTTCATTCCTTGCCACTACTAGTAACTAGTCTTTTAAGCCTTCATTCATCTTAATACTTTTAGGGTAGAACGTATAAAACATTATAGTGGGCTTTGGTTATAATATCCTTCCAAATTTCCTCATCTCATGGTATGCATAGAACGTATAAAACATTATAGTGGGCTTTGGTTATAATATCCTTCCAAATTTCCTCATCTCATGGTATGCATAGAACGTATAAAACATTATAGTGGGCTTTGGTTATAATATCCTTCCAAATTTCCTCATCTCATGGTATGCATAGGCTAGCTTGCCACAACAAATTGTCATCTTAGGAGAAGTAAACCCTTTTGGCCTATCAATCTCTTACTATTCCCAGCTCTTTTAGAGGTATGTATCAGTCTTCTCAAAATTTGAACCCAACTAAATTCATAAATTACAATTAAATTGAACTAAACTCAATCACAATAATAATAATAATAATATATTTATAATTCCTAGTTTTCCTTCATTTGAAGGGATTCCATATCTTTATTGACCAGCAAATGAATAGCATCCACAAATTAAATATAAGATTCGACATCTTTATTGACCAGCAAATGAATAGCATCCACAAATTAAATATGAGAACCAATGGGTAAACAACAGCCACAATGTCCTTAAACAATATCTATAATTAATGGTTCTTATTCTTCTAGTGCCAAACTCTATAACTTATGGTCGTATCTACAACACAAAGATCAATCAGCTCAGCCATGGCAAGTAGGCTTGAGGAAGAAGCACCCAACCAAATTGGAAATGGTGGAGAAGATCAGAACAAGGAGGAGACTTGGCAGAAGAGAGATAGAGAGTATCTGTTGATAGTAGTAACATTCATGGCAACCGTTGCTTTCCAAGCCGGGGTGAGCCCTCCTGGTGGTGTCTGGCAACAAGACGATAAGAACTCGAGGTATGTAACAATAGAGAGAAGAGATATAAGAAAAAAAAAATCTTATAAATACTCATAAGATGTATGCTCTATTAATATCGATGAATAGAAATGAAAATTATTGTGCTTAATGTTAAATTTTTTTGTGACTAAATTATGTGGGCGCATAAGTATTGTAGCTGGGACATCGATAATGGCCACAAAATTCCCAGCTGAGTTCACCACATTCGTCGTTGGCGTAACAGTGTGCATGATAGTTTCAATGTTGCAATTTATAGTGCTGTTTGTTGAGTTGCCAAGCGACACACCCTCACTTTCGAGGAAATATCTGTACTACACTTTGTTCTTCGCATTAGGCAGCATGCTCTCGTCTTATGTATCATCGGTAAAAGCTTATACGCCGGAGTCGATGAGAACCCAGACCATCACTGTTCTTGCTCTTACTATTGGAATTGGTGTTGTTTTAGTGGGGATTTCATTGTTCAAACAGAAGATACAGCAGAAATGTATGCGTTAACTGTTCAGTGGACAATATCATGAGAGCTTAAGCTCAAAGTGGACAATATCATACCATTGTGGATAGTTGTGTTCATCCAACACAAAGCAGGTCTCGAAGAACAAGCACCCCAACACATGGCCCAAAGCCTATGTGTTTGTCAAACCAGGTTCTTGAAAAAATTCTTAGGGCGAGCTACAACCTATCTAACTTCACCTTCTTACCTTGGTTCTTGCACAAATTCTTCAAGAATGGATTAAAGCTCTTGTATTATCATATGTATGAGAATTTGGCACCTACGCATATGTATTCAAACACATTGAAGGCACTTTAAGAAATCATACGTTTGAATCTAAATGGGCTTCAAATTGTAAAACCCAATACAAATCAAGTTCTTTATGAAAGCAAAAAAATTCAATGGGAGGTTCCAGATGTTGTATAAATGCCACGACCAAAATGATGTTGGAGTTTTTGAAAGGTTAATATATATGTATTACTGAAATTGTTAATCGCTTACAAATATTTTTATTAATTTAGTTTTTTTTTTTATATATATAATTTTGTCGATTTTGTTTATATTATGGTATATGATTCTTATACAAGTTCGACCTTAGTTCAGTTGGTAGAGCGGAAGACTATAGTGGTTGAAGAATCCCAAAGCCATCTTTAAGTCGTTGGTTTAAATCTGATCGGAGCTTTTAAAAGTTTAATATGTATGTACTATTGATATTAGTTTAGGTATTTTATTGAATGATTATATATTGTGAAATATAGATAATTAATTATGTCTGAAACCTTGAATTGATTCATTGCATATCATTTGCATGTTTAAAGGTGATAATTTCCTGCTGTAGGGGTTGGGTACAATTTATAGTACAAATAACAATTTAAACTTGTAGGTCATGCAATTATTCAAAACTAATTTTTTTTTTTTTTTTTTTTTAACAAATGGAACGACCTGAATCCAATAAAGGGCTAGGTTGTCAAAATTTTCGGGTTAGGTTGGGTTACCAATCCAACCAACCCGAACTTTTGGGTTGTTCCAAAAAATTATCTCAACCTAACCCAACCCGACCCGACCCATGTACACCGGTAACTTATCTGATCGGTTGGGCTTTATGCCATAAAATCTCGTAGTTAATTATTTTATTTTTAATAATAATTTTGATTATTTTATATGCAATTTAACACTATTTATTATATGATAAATCTAAGGTTATTAATTTAATTTTGAACAATAGGTAGGTTACAAATGGGTGGATCATGTTCAAGAAATAATCTAAGGGATTTATGGTATATGGATAAAGTTTGGTGTTTAGCGGTGAGATTCTACATTGATTGGAGAGGAGAGTAGAATGAAAAATTCCTTATAAAGCTGTGGAAAGCTCTGCTTAACAGATGCATTTTAAAACCATGAGGCTGACGATGATACGTAACAGGTTAAAGCGAACAATATCAGCTAGTTGTGGGTTTGGGCTGTTACGAATGGTATCAGAGTCACACACCGGGCGGTGTGCCAGCGAGGATGTTGGGCCCCTGAGGGGTGGATTGTGAGATCCCACATCGGTTGGGAAGAGGAACAATACATTCCTTATAAGGGTGTGGAAACTCCTCTATGTCAGCGAGAACACTGGGTCCCGAGGGGGGTGGAGTGTGAGATCCTACATTGGTTGAAGAGGAGAACCAAACATTCCTTATAAGGGTGTAGAAATCTCTCTACGCCATCAAGGTGGTTTGTGAGATCCCACATCGGTTGGAGATGGGAACCAAGCATTTCTTATGAAAACCTTTCCGTACCAATGAGGTGGATTGTGAGATCTCGCATCGGTTGGAGAGGGGAACCAAACATTCCTTATAAGGGTACGGAAACCTCTCCGTGCCAACGAGGACGCTTGCCCCAAAAGGGGGTGGATTGTGATTCAATAAGTCTACACTTATATTATTTTTCAGAATTATCAAGATTGTAAACCATTCGTAAAAATGCCACAACCAAAATTCTTTGGTATCAATTGTTGTGACGGAAGCGGAGGCAAGATCGATCGTACTCACACATTCACAAATATAAATTAAACAAAGAGACACAAAGATTTACATGGTTCGGAAGTAATAAATTTCCCTACATCCACGGGTGATAGCTAATCACTAACCAAAGTGTTTACAAGTGTATCTCACACTCTCACACTACAAATTCTCTGGTACAAAGTTCTTCCCAATTGCCTCGCATCAAATACAAAATGACAATGACTTTACATCTTAAAACAATGTTAGACAAATTTTTATATAAACATAGCAATACTAATTCTCATACATGAATCAAAGCAACACTAGAAGTAATCAGCAGAGAACTAGAGGAAACAATTGTCAAATTGACTATGAGTGTACTTATGCTTCACCATGAAGTGATCAAAATTCATATACCATTTATGTAACGCCCCTAATTTTCTCTATCCTAATTAGCAACGTTACCTTATACTCGTCTAATCAACAGGACAAGAGTTCACGTGAGACAGTCTCAATAACGATAATGCATTCATCAATATAAGCAGTTCATACCTAGGAAAACAATAATGACAACCTAGCCTAAAAGTAATCAACAGAGAACTAGAGGAAACAATCGCAAAACTATGAACCCAAACGAATCCAACAAGGCGCCTACGACACTACAGACTCTCCTCAAGATTTCCATGGCCCTTCGCATCATCCACCGTCAGCCATACATGGGAGCCTTGCCCTTACCTGAAAATATGGGTAGCACGTGGCTTGAGTATTATATAAAATACCCAGTAAGTCGCCCCACTGTTGAGGTTAAGTATATATTCATACATATGGACACAAGCAGTCGCACACAATACACCTACATGTCGCACATGATACACATACATGACGCACACAACACACATACATGTCGCACATAATACTCATACATGTCGCACATAACAGCCATACCTGTAGCACATAATAACCATACCTGTCGCACATAATAACCATACATGTCGTACATAATAACCATACATGTCGCAAAGTGTTAGAAGAACAAAGCTGAGAGAGGGGTCTGTCTTCCATTCCTTCCCATGGCCTTAGGCCCTTGCTTTGTCCGGGTGGGGGTGGATGCATGGTAATTTCCCACGCATGGCCCACGTGTGTGACTGTGGGCCCACCAGGCGAGCTCGCAAGCAAACTCCCTGGGCCTGGCTTGGTCAGGTATGTATGACATACAATACCGGACGCCACGGACAAAGGAGGGCCTGCATGATATCGTGGCGAACACAATATCGAATATACGCATCCATACCATCAGTAGCATAATGGAGGAGTGCCCCAGGTAAATAACCATAGGGTGCATGAGGTTCTTAAGGTTTACCTCCATGGCATTATACATACAACGCTCCATCCCCTCACCGCATTACATAGCATAATCGGGTCCACATTAAGAAAGCATATCATAGCATAACCGGGTCCACATTGAGCAAACATATCATAGCATACTAGTCATCTCATTCATGGCATGTGGGGTTCTCATTACAATCATGACATGTCAATCAAGCTCATCATACATACAGGGCAACCAACCGTGTCACAACATCATATTCATAAACATGGCATACATAGCAATTCACTGCATGAATCACATACATAATCATAGCATACATAACATTTCACGGCAAGAAACATCTAGCCTAGCATACAGCAACAACATATGGTACATGCAAGGGCCATAGGGCACGCACCAACATACATACATAACTAACGCCAACAGTAAGGTTACTTACCTCCTTGGCCTTGGCCGAAGTCACCCATAATGCTAACTCCGGTGCCTAACTACCTCCTATAAGATAACATGATACACTTAGAGCCCTTTCACAACTAGCTCTTATGCCTAGCTACCAAGGTACGTCCCTATCACAAGCTATTTTATCACAATGGAGTTATACTGACCTCAGATGGCTGAAACAAGGGTGGGAACGGCTCCAGAAGGGTCAAAAACCTAGAAATCAGTATACTGTTTGGATGACGAGCCGCTGAGCTGCACAGCCGAGTCGACTTAGCCGAGCCGCCGGTGGAGTCGAAATCGACGGGCGCGCCTCTGGTTTGGGCCGAAAAGGAACGAGGCCCAATGGTGGTGTCCGAGCGCGGCCTTCGAGGTGTGGGCTGCACGCCAGACGTGACGAACCAACTCACTGTGTCGTATATATTTCTTCTTCCAAATCTCCATGCAAGAAAACAGTTTTTATATCAAGTTAAGCAAGCTGAAGATTAAATTAAGCGACCAAAACAAACAAAATTTGAATGGATGGAGATATTCACCATTCTTGAAAGTATGATTTCCAAAAATAAATTCTGAAAAACAAATAAGCAAGCTTGCAATGAGAAATTTATCTTCGACAATTGATGCTGAGTTTGAGCACGCCTGGTGGTCGATGAGGTTAAGTCTTTCACAATACTACAAATGTCGAAACTTGGCTCTGTTGATACTAATTATGGTACCCTAATGCCACAACCAAAATGCTCTAATAAAAATTGTAGCAGCGGAAGTGGGAGCAAAATCAATCATATTCACACACCCACAAATTGTTGTAGCTTACCATGCCTATTAGTAGTCGTGAAGATATCACCAAAGTCGAGACCACTTCTAATTTCTTGTAGTACAACTCAGTGATGTCAAGCTTGTCTCAATTTTGCTAGTGCCTTATCGGGTTTAAAAATAGTCAGGGATCTCTGAACAAGGTCGTTGTTCCATAAACTCGTCACAAGTGCTATGGACCACACAGGTAAACTCGGTAGTTAGTCAACACACGAGGTTGCTCCCCCACTTCAGTGTGATGTTATGGTCTTGTGGAGGGGTTGCTAGCTGAGCTTTCACAAATGATATTCAGGTCTCACGACGCCATATCGTCTTTCATGTCAGCATGTTTGTTGAGGTTGCTTCTCTTCAACTTAGGATACTAGTGATTCACTTCCTAATCAATATAAGCTGTTAAATAAGAAGATCAAACAAGTTGGTTCACTGCAAAGCTTAGTTAAGTCGTTCAGGTGATTGTGCGACACTAGGTTAGGTGAACAACCTCCAAACCTTTATTGGGTTTGTAATACACACGAAAACTGACTTAGGAACTTATAGACCATCCAGAAGCTTAGATAGATTTAGGAGCATTAGGTGTATGAGCTTATGCATGAACTTCCTAGAGTCCAGGTTAGGTGTAGAAGCTTATGCATGAATTTCCTAGAGTCCAAATTAAAGCTCATGGTAACTTGCTAGGTCATGGATGTCTAAAAGCCTACGGGTAGGCTACTTACCAACTATTTTTATGCTCACCAGATATTACTTTTTTTTCTCAAGTGATTAGCTGATTGGTTGACGTGGGACGCATTCGGGAGTTATGCGACCACAG